CTCTATTGAAACCATAGACCATCATCTATGGAAGAAACAGTCCAATGAAACCATAGACCATCATCTATGGAAGAAACACTCTATTGAAACCATAGACCATCATCCACAGAAGAAACAGTCCAATGAAACCATAGACCATCATCATCCCTGCAGCAATCCAAAGTAAAAAGCTGATGGTTTTTACTGGAGACTCTTTGCAGCTTGTGTTCTGACTTTTCAAACAGCTGAAGTTCATTCCGCTCCCAACTGAAATTACAGGAAACACAGATGAGTAATAAGATTTGATTGTATTGTTTTTCATGACRCAGTTTGTCTCCTGTGGACCATAAAGAACTGAAGCATTTCAGACTGAACTTTTTCCAGCTCATGTTTTATTCAGATTTTTCAGTCAGTAAATTAAAGTTAACGTGAGGAATGAGACAGTGCTGGGAGAACTCTGAAGATTCTTGTTTGTATTCTTTGTTTTAATAAAGTTTTTTTTGACTCAAACTTTCAGTCACAACAAAACATTTCCTTTATTCTCAGTTCTGTAATTAATGCTGTCATACCCGTTGCATATTTATTTATATCAGGCACTTAGTGAAAATTCTCAGGTTAAACTTTACAAATCCTCTAACACTACTATGTACAATTATAAATCTTTTATTTGAAACAAAAATATATATTAGTGATGCTCCTGAAGCATGAGTCTGCACAGGAGCCACAGTTTTCTGTAAATACTGAGACACAGACCACTGGTTTGAGATTGTCATCGGCTAAGGCAGGGGTCTGCAATCTGTGCCTCATCTCATTTTATCAAAGGAAGAATGAACAAAATGATTTATTTCCCTTTTTCATAAACGCTTACTCTTTTCCTTTGAACATAATTGGTATTTTTACAGATCTTTAATTTCATAACGATAGTTTGTTTTATATTTTGGTCACCCGCAATTCTGAAAAAAGCTGTGATGTTGTAAAGATAATAAAAACAATGCAATTATTAGCAAATCTCATAAACACATATTTTAATCACAACAGAAAAAAGTAAATATATCTAGTAAAAATTAATATATCAATATATGACTTTGAAGAGGAAAAAAAAGGTAATTTCAAACGTTTTGGCTGCAACATCTTTAAGTCGTCCCAATGGAAACAAAAAGTGGTAAAAAAGAAACAGCTGGAGAATAATTTTACAGCTAATTAGGTTAATTATCAAAAGGTGTGGTCTGTTCACAGAGGGAACAACTTTAAACAGACTTGTTGCTACCATGAAATTCAAAATTAACAGATTTTTCCTAAAAATGATTTATGAGTTTCAACATTTGACATGATTATTATGATACACTAGGAATTAAATATGTGTTTATGAGATTTACAAATCATTGCATTCTGTTTTTATTCAGGTTTAAAGCAACATCTCAACTCATTCTGAACAGAGGCTGTWTCTATATTTCACTTCCTGAGTTGGGTTATCAAACTAACTTCTGTGGCTCTGCGTAAATTAAAGAAACAGAAAAATCTGTTTTTGATTGTAAAGGTTGCGAACCCCAGGCTAAGGCCTGGTAAGGTGAGGTAACTACAAATAAAACTTCTTTTTTTAGTGCAATTTTAGGATTAACATCTTTACACGTCAACAGAAATTAACTCCAATCAGAGGAGATCAAATCTTCTCGACCTCAAACTTAAAAAAAAAGCTGATTTTCTCAATCTTTTTAAATCAATTTCTATATAAAAAGCAGTTTTACTATTAAAAAAATCTCTTCTCAGGGATATTAACTCCCACTTAATAATGCATGTAAATAATAAAGCTCTCACAGTAAATAATACAGCTTCAACATAATGTGGAGTTCAGACAACAGAGGAAATACATGGATTCTTGTAAAGACATGATGGAAACATAAAACTCTAAAGCTGAAGGCATCATAAATAAATGCTGATAAACAGCTGATTTTTGGTGTTTTTAAACACACTTTTGGTTTTTCTGAGTAACTAAAATATAAATAYGACAGCATGGCCGACCCGTACGGAAAACAAAAAGGAACAAATTACAGTGTTTTATAAAAGATTCCATACGTCAGTGTACCTAAATGACCTTAAATAGAGCCAAAAATATATACAAACAATAAAAACTGAAATAAATCAACACCCAAATGTTTACAACCTAACAAATACTCAACTAAACTCTTTAAATGAAGACTGGAAGAGAAAGAAAAGGGAAAATGTTTTGTTACCCTGAGAATCTCAACCCTCCAGAAGTCGACTTGATTAACAAAAATAAAATAAAAAAATCACATTTAAGACTTTTTTTTAAAAAGTTTCTCTTCTTGTTTTTCTCATCCAGTGTGTTTGACGTTCAGTTTTCACAGTTTGGCTTCTTCCACTCCATCAGATGGCGCCTCCGGTGGACCATCATGGCGTTCTGGCTCGTAAAGATCCGGCCACAGAACCAGCAGGGGAACTCGGACTCCGAATCCACGATCTCGTACTTCCTGCGGCTCAGTCGGCGAAACTTCAGCTTCAGGGTGAACCTCTCCTGCACGGAGCCGAGCGGCGCGGGGGCCTCGTCGCTCAAACCCRACAGCTCGCTCAGAGTCCGGCGGGACAGAACCACCTTCTGGACCTCCCTGTGCCTGCTGACCACCTCCATGATCCGGGCCACGTTGGGGGAGTCGGCGTCCGGATGGTTCAGCACCACGACGGGCTGGTCTCCCGCYGGACGCTTCACCCGCTGGGAGGAGCTTATGGCCACTAGCTTCAGGGTTCTCACCTGCTGTTTGGGGACCGGCTGCCACCRGAGCCSGGGTCCAGGTGGGGACTCGTTCTCTGTAGGTTTACCTGAGGGTACCTGGATCCTGCTGAGGAGATCTGGGCAGGAACCTGAAGGAACTTCCACCTGGCCTTCTAGACCTGTGGCCGCTGCAACGCAGGACTCCTCCCAACGAGGCCTCCCTGTCAGAAGAGCCGAAACTGTCAGAAACTTCCTGCAGAAACGTTGAATCTTACAGCTGCTGCACAAAAAGTCAAACACAAATCTGTAAAAATCAGATAAAACTCTGACACTTTAAGGTACGAAATATATGTTTTTAAAAAGAGCTGCATGATAAAACAATAATAATCCTGATCCTAAGACATTTTGTCCAACAGAATGTTGATAACCATTCTGTTTGATTAGTCAGAGGAAAGGTTTTAGTTTTAGCTGCTCGACCTATATATATATATA